CGTTTCCTTTGTGATCTCCAAATCTTCCAATAGATCCAACTCCAATAGTTTTTCTTTCTACTGATGTCATGCAAAATAGACGAACCAGTATTGATCTTGAAATTGTGTTTGCTAGACTCTAAATGTTGGCCAAACTTGAAGAGTTTGGTCTTTTTAAATGTTCTGATATTCTAGTAGATAGCTTTCTATGGTTCTGCCTACATAAGAGGCATCACAATCATCACACTTTAATTTGTCAATGCCACTTTTTGTCAAGTGTGTTCAGCCTGTCTTTGGTGTTAATTAAAAGGAACCTACAGTGTTGTGTGACTTAAAGGAAATTTTGATGTTTTCAACTGCAGAAGTAAAAAGTTTAGCTATTTTATTAGAAATGTTGCTAATATAAGTAAAAGAAAAATATCTGATGGTGTTAGAAGCATTTTGTTGAAGAGGAATTTGTGATGAATATGCAAGCTTTTCTGTAATTTTAAGTTTAGCTCTATTTAGAAGCATATGGATAATGTTGGGATCATAACCATTATTTAAAGCAATTTTTTTGAGAGTGTTGAGTTCTACATTAAAGTTATCATTTGAAAGTGGAAATTTAAGTAATCTGTGAATATAACTATTGAAAGCAGCCATTTTATGTTGGGTTGGATGGTTAGATGTCTCATGTATAACATGATCTGTTTGGGTGGGCTTTCTTTAATATTGTACTCAAGAGAATCTTTATTGCGAGATATAGTAATATCCAAGAAGTTCAACTTATTGTCAGATTTTGGTTCCAAAGTAAAAGATATGTTGGGATGAAGGTTATTAAGATCTTCCAGAATCTGTAAAGCATCATCTTGGGATCCTTGTATCAGAGCTATACAATCATCAACGTACGTTGACCAAAAAATTATTTTGTTGTTGTTGTTAACAAATTTCTGTTCTAAGCTGTCCAAAAAATATCAGCTAAAAAAGGTGATAATGGAGAACCCATTGCTAAACTGTCGGTTGTTTGTATACTTTTTGGTTAAATTGGAAGAAGTCTTGATCAAGACAATATTTGAGAATAGTTGAGATAGCATCTTTGTCTTTAGCCGGTATGTTGCAATTGTTTTAAAAGGTTGTGTACTAAAGGTAATGTTTCATCTCTTGGTACAGAAGTAAACAAATTGGAAACATCAAAGGAAACCAAATAAAAACTCTCTTCTATTTTGATATTATTTAAAACGTTCTATTAGATCTAAAGAATTTGTAATGGAGAACTTAGGTTTAAAATTAGTAATAGATTGAATTGTGTTATAAACAAACTCTGACAATATAGAAACTGGAGTGTTGCAAAACTTACAACAGGCCTAATGGGACAATTGTGTTTGTGAATTTTAGGAAGTCCATTATAACCTAGAAGTTATAGGGTTAGATACAATTAGCTTTCTGTTGTTACATTTAGAGATAGTATCATTAAACAATTTAACCGTTGCTTTTGTTTTATTAATAAAGGTGTTAATTGGATTTTTTTCCAAAACTACAAAATTATTATCTGACAGAAAAGATTCTACTTTTTCGATGTATTGAGTTTGTTCTAAAATTACAACACAATTTCCCTTATCAGCTTTGTTAAGGACTAGAGAATCTTTATCTATTTTTTGTTTAATTGATTTTAGCAAATCCTTATGTTTTTTAAAAGAATGATGATTTCTATGAAAATTATGTTTGTACTTACATTGTTGTTGTTGAAGTAAGCTAATGCAAGAATTTCTTAAATATTGTTTAATATCAGCATTGTTTGTCATACCTTCTATTAGAGTGTCCAGCTCCACTGCAAATCCTCCCAGCACTGAGTCATTTAACCTAAAATTCTGACAAAAAAAAACTTAAGGCCTAATCCTAAAAAAATACAATTTCTCCTGTGAAAAGTTGGTTTTACTTAGATTTAAGACTCTAGGATGAAATTGATGATCTGAATACTTATGTATAAGTGTTGAGTTATTTCTTTGTTGCTTTTGCAAAATCAAACGGTTTAGTTTGTTGTTGAGACATCTCTTCTTAGTGGATTGTAGACGTGGGACCTCGTCTTCTATGTTGTTGAAGGAGTCATGGACAAGAAACCAAGGATATTGTTGTAAAATTTGGTCATAAGTAATCTTAAGATTTAAATTAATATAATGAAGTTTTGTATAGTGCTTCTTAAGTTCTCTTTTCAGGATCTTTTCCTCCAAAATCTGTCTTTCCTTGTCAGGTACGTTTCTTGATTTTTTAACCTTGGCAAAAGTAGGAGTGACTTGATGTAAAATGCACTGGCTAACGAACCAAATGTTCAAGAATGTGATCATTCTCTTGCAGGATAGTCTTCTGTAAGAATCAACCAGGACTGCCATAGTCAATAATAATTGAAATGAGGTTGAATGCTCGAATAAATGAACTTTGAAAATAAGTTAATTAAATCTAGCCCAAGTATTTATGTACACTTCATTGAGCCTCAAACCTACAACCTTATTATTACAGACGGGTGTGAGTGTGAGATCTGGATTATGCAATCTAGTTTAAATCAAAATATTCTATATGTCATACTTCATCAGCTGATTTTTTCAGTAGTAGTTCTTGTTGGACCTTTGGCTAATGACAACTTATACAGAATTTTAATATTTGCTGATCACAGATCCATAACTTTGACTGCCTATCAAAGTTGTCATATGTCACATGTCACCGTATCATTTCCGCTTAGATCATTATCCGTCCAGATACTGACAGAGAATGTAACGTAGAATCTTTAAGTAATTTTAAACTGTTTGTCCTCGTTTTAGTGTAGTGTTTTGTACAATTTTATGTCACTATTAATGTTTCCACATTCTACGCTTGCCGGATAGTTCACATTTTGACGAAGTAAGTCTAAAACGTTAATCTCAAAAACTTTTTTTCATCCATTAACTTAGAGTTTTTTATCGAAGTTAACTAATTTACTTCATCTAAAAAACGTTTTCTTGGCTTATTTTAGCTGCCCCTGAAGATGCTATTTTAAGCGAAAGTACTTGGGCTAGATTTAATTAACTTTTGCTCGATAATAGCCTTATTTTCAAAGTTCATTTATTCGAGCATTCAACCTCATTTCAATTAAAAATTATTAAGTTAAATTTAGTATACATTATATACCAAAGATTTTCTGAACGAGTACGTTTATGTGCAATCATACTTTCGTCTATGGAATACTGATTTTCAAATTGATGTTTCTGACAATTTAATCTGACTGCATCCAAAAGGGGTCTGATATTAAAATACCGATCTTTGGTTTCGTCTGTAGCGTGGCTGTTGTCAGGTTACAAGTTGAAATTGTTTTAGTGGCATAATACCCGCAATTTGGGATATTCTAGAGAATGTCGCCTAATAGTCTTCTACTGCAGGTAAACTTATTACTCCCATCAATAACAAAATGCATAAGAAATCTGTTATTTCACGGGGCGAAGAGTTGATGAATTTTCCTCGTACCTGTATACTGTATAAGTTAGACTGGTACACGATATCTTCAATGAAATCAAGCGAAAACAACTTGGTAAAGTACTCCAAAGGCGTAGCTACCTCTATACTAAACAATCGATCTGGATCAGTAGTGGAAGTAGTTGTAATATCATCTGTCCAACTAATGAGTATGATCTCTTTTTGCTTTTTTTGGTACAACTTCCTCTTCTTCGTTTGCTCCTTTCTCATCGGCTTCTCTATCTTTATCTATTTTTTGTATAACCATATTGTTTGGAACTGTTTCATCATCAGAGTATTCGAAAATATTTTCGTCTTGCAAGTAATTTTCTTCAGAATCAGATAAATCGGAAATATCTGAAATATTTGAATCTATCTGAGCGTTTTTTTTTGCTTTTTCTCTTTGCTTTTTTTCTTTTGGCTTGTTTCTTGATACAACTTCCTCTTCTTCGTTTGCTCCTTCCTCATCAGTTTCTCTATCTTCATCTATTTCTTGAATAACCATATTGTTTGGACCTGTTTCATTATCAGCGTTTTCGAAAATATTTTCTTGCAAATAATTTTCTGCTGAATCAGATTAATCGGAAATATCTGAAATATTTGGATCTACCGGAATTATTAATTACAAGCTTTTTTTCTTCCCATTAAAACAGGCAGCCCTGATTGGCTTAAAATCCATAACAAAAAATAATTTACTGTGTAAAATCTGCAACAAAAAAAAACTTGCCATAAACTGGCAATGTTGCTTTTTACCTATATTATTATAGTTTTTTGAATGCAGATTTTACGGTTATATAGGTCTTTTATTAATTTAAAACTGAAAGTAATGATCCTTTATATTTAACGTAAAGCCAAAATATTGTACACAAAAAGGTTTTTACTTACTTTTATAATGCAGTATTTATTCACGTTGTTCAGCTGTTCACTTTCGGCCATATTGAAATAAAACTTCTAAAACCTTCTAATAGATGGTGCTGCCAGCCTTAACACTAATAAAAGACGTTGTAGTTTAGAGGCTACATTTCTAGATATGGTATAAAAAGCACTATGCTATTGAAATTATCGTTCAAAGTTGATGTAGCCAAAAAGCTACCGGACCAGATAAAGGGTTAATAATATAGAATATATTTATGTGATCGTAATCATTTATTAGAATATTAAATCGTTGTGCGTTTCGTCGTAGAAAATCATATGTATTTTACGCAGAAAAAATATTCGATTTTAGCTTGAGCACAACCATCAAAGAAAATATAATTATTTTTCTATTTGTATACTAAATAGTTTTGCATTCGTTATTACAAATTTACTTAAATTATTTAACATAAATATATTTTACTAACGATCTCAAATTATTCAAAAATGATCATAATTAGCAATCGAAAGTAGGTCTAGTATCATCGCCAGTACCATCTCGGTGCTGTCAATTGCCGACGAGGCGAATGCACTTTTACATCTAATCCTTTTCATATCTTGATTTCGACAACAATATTTAAAGTTCATACATAGATAGTTATTATCCAACAGACAGTTATTAAATAATATTGATGACTGATTGTCAGAGGGAGGGACTCGCGTTGGGAGTATAAAAAGATTTAGCTAATATATGGGGTCGTTAGTTCATCCTCAACCAAAGAGAATTACTAAGCCATAATGAACCATCTGGTACGTACAAATTTTAGTGTTCAGTGAAATTTTTGTGTACAAGTGTTGCGGAATGTTGTGAGGCAGTGAGAAAATTTTGGCATACATATTAAAATAATAACCAAAAATAATATTAAAATTCAAGTGTCATGTTTTACAAATTAAAGTTAATATTTTCATTTTTATCTTAGCACTTCTTTCTCTAATTTCCTAATATTTTGCATTAAAATTGTTGATCATACGTTATTCAGTAACAAAAAATATTTTTTTATTTGTATGGGAATCATTTAGTTCTCTGATTTTTTTGGTCAATTTTGAGTTTATTACAATTTACCAGAATAGTGATATATTAACTAAACGTAGACACAATTTGTTTGGTTAATTAATCCGCAGAAAAAATTTTAAAAATGAATTTTTTTTTAAATTTTTACTAATGTTGTCGTTCATGTATATAGAGCCTTAATAATATCGTTGATTGAATAACCCAATTTGGGTTATTCAATCAACGGTAATATTAAGCATCTGGTGGCCTGAAATTATCGCAATTCTTACATGAATCTGTTATAGGAGCATGGAATGATAAGTTGAACTTCTCGTTGAATATTTTTTCAAAGATGTATTTAGAAACAGGTTCGCTGACTTTATTTTTATATGCAGAATACATTATTGTCAAATTCAAGTCAGGTGGCAAGTACTGTCTTGTCTCACTTTTGTGTCTGGTGTAGTGTGAATCGTATTTTGGAAAAGTATTAATGAACTCCTTTACTTCATTTTCTTTCAGCTCAGGGGTTTCGTTTTTTGGGACATGTTTACCTCCCTTGTCAATAGGGGGTGTATCACCAACTGATTTATTTTTCAAAATCCTTGTGAGACGTCCATCTGATACTTGAAGGAAATGTTTGAAAAATGACTTCCAAACATGAATTTGTCTTCCATTCATATCTGGTAAATGATACAGTCTGGAAAATTCTCTCGGCTTTGTTGTGACATCGTTTGCATTTTGTTTACATGATCTTGCTTTAATTATGACATTTACAAGTGAAAACAAATAAGAGCTTTGCAAATTGAAATTTGATAATCCATAAAATTTGGAAAATAGTATTCTTTGTCTTTCAGGTTCGATCTTCTCGTGGCATTTTTCTTTACAGCGACATCGATATTGTGTATTTATCGTTTTAGCGAGAACGAGAACGCCTTTAGTGTTAGTGTATTCCTCACCTTTAGCTTGTTTGCTTTTTCTTACATTTTTTTTTCACGTATTTTCCTTGCGAATGCGTTTCCTTGTCGTATTTGTAGAAACTGACGACTGGTCTTCTACATTAGACAAATCTTCAAGAATATGTTGCAAATTTGGCGAAGAGCTCCTGCTGCGATGATCTGGAACATACACGGAACCTGAATCCTGATAGGGCTCCTCTGGGCTTGATCCAAGTATATCTCGTAATTCATTTTCGATGTTATCAGTAGTTTCAGCCCCACTCCCTCCATCATATGCAATTGCTGGAGCTCCAGGAACATCTGCGGCAAACAAACACAACAATAATTACTATTTATGTAAGATGTAAGCTTTGATAAAATTAAAACAGCACAATTAATGTTTTTGTAGGTTATGTTAACTTGACAAAGGTTATAACAGTTGGATTGTTGGGCAAATAACAGAGAAACTCACCTTTTACAGTTATAAAATGAGAAACACGCAAAAAACCTCTCAATAATAATCACAATGACAGTTAAGCTTTGCCAATGCCGGAGTGGCCCAAGTCACCTGGGTCACTATTATTTTTAAAATGGAGTATAAAATTACAATGCCAAAGCAATACTAGTGTCGCCATCTGTTACTCTCGGAGAAAACTAATCTTGGGCCACTGTGGCTTTGAAAATATTTGATATTGGTTTCACTATTTTTATTGTCTGTCGGATCGTTAGCTCAAAAATCTCGCATACTCTATACCAGACGTACGTTCATTAATAATTTGATGGTTAAAATAATACGTTAGTCTGAGAAATATTTTAACTGCGCAGGCAATAAAAACTTGGTAAGTTCGATTTTTTGAACCTTTTCTTCTTCTTTTGGTGCCTATATGTTTCAAATGTTGTTGGACATTAACATGGCTATTCTGAGTTTGTTGACTAATGCCCTGAAAAGTCCGGTAGTGATTAAGTTAAACCATTTTTCCAAGTTATGCAGCCAGGATATTCTTCATCGTCCTGGACCTCCCATGCACTTTACCTTGAAGTATGGTCCGAAGTAGGTCATATTATTGTTCATTGCGCATTATATGCACATTTTATGTAGTACTTGTTCGTTGGTAACTCTGTCTATACAGGAAATCCTGACCATGCATCTATAGCACCACATCTCAAATGCTTCGAGTCTCTTTAGTGATGCTTCAGTTAAGGTCTATGACTCCACGCCATATAAAATAACGGAGAATAATTAGCATTGTAGGAAACAAACTTTTCTTTCCAATTTTATATCGTGGCTGTTAAAGATTTTTTTCATTTTGACGAAAGTTGATCTTGCCTTCTCGATCCTTATCTTAATTTCCGTCGATTGGTTCTAGTGTTTATTTAAGTTTGCACCCAAATAACAAAAGTTGGTGATTGTTGTTATAGGTTGTTGGTTAACTAGTAATTGACCAGGTGGTATCCTATTTTTGCTTATAATCATGTATTTGGTTTTTTTTATGTTAAAATCAAGTCCAAACTTGCTACTTACTTCTGCCTCCCTGGAGACAAGTGTCTGCAGACCTTCAAGACAGTCTGCAAAAATGACAGTATCAGCTTATGTTGTTCAATCGTTCTTCGTTTATAAGTATTCCCTCGCCTATGTCCGTTAGCGCTAAGTTCATAATGTGCTCTTAATATTTATTGAACAATAATGGAGACAATATACATCGCTGTCGCACACCTCTTTTTATCTTTATGTCGTCTGTTAATTGATCCCCAACTCTAACAGCTGCATTTTGTTTGTAATGAATATTATTTATTATACGGCGATCTCTGCTGTCTAGGCCAATTGAATTTAAGTGTTATACAGCCGACTAGAATTAAAATAAAAAACAATAAAAAAGTAGCCCCAACTTGATTTTTCCTTAAGGGAGGCCTATTGAAAAAGTTATAAGAGGCAAAAAAGTTTTAAAAACATTGTTTAACTAATTGTACTATAATAATAATTTAATTATGACGTATACAAACATTTGAGGGGATTTATGGGAGCAAAACCCCAATAACATTTTTATGGGATGTACAAATTTCACTGTTATTTTATTTTAAAGATACTGGTGCCATGAAAAACTACATGTCCATTTTCATTATTAAATCACGAACAGTTTTTGATATATAAAAAAAAAAACGATTTTTATTTTGAACCTTCTAAGGACTGTAACTTTTTTTATGTGCACATTTATACTAAAGTAAGTTAAGTTCAATCGAACTATTTTTAGTCCCAGAGTAACTGATTAAATTTATGACCTACATTTTGTTACAACCTGTATATTTAACGAATTAAAATTAAGTCTTTTTTCAATATGTTATTCTTAAATCCCAAATATTCTTCACATACAGGGATCATGTCTTGTAAGTTTTTGAGTATGATTTTTTTGAACAATTTTTATTTCTAGTTCCGTCATAGTTGGTTAATTGTTGTTTTGAAGTCTTTTTTGTTTTTCTACTATTTTATTGAAAACGTTTTGTGACCATACTTGTTAAACCATATTTAATTTGTTTGTTAATAACATTGTCTTGTTTTAAAGGTTTTCAGTGATTCAGATTCCTTGTAACGTTCTTTTTCTTGATTCTGTTCTATATTTCATTTTAATCTTTGGGTGTATCTGCTTTAATGTTATTTTATATTATATTTTTCTTATCGCCAATCTACTTTTGAAGGTTGGCAATCCAAATAGCTTTGGAAACTGATGTATTTCTGTCTCATCAAGTCTTTGAAGCCACGAGTTCTGGCATCGTCCGACTAATATTTTGCTCTATTGTTTAATAAAATTTTGGAGTAGTTTGTATCTTTCAGCTCTCAATACATGATCCAAGTATTGTATTTTCCTTTCTTTAATTATGCTTAGCTTAGTAATTATTTCTGTTTGTTCTTCCGACGAAGTACCTCACCGTTGGTAACTTTTTGTATCCCTGGAATTCTCAACAGATGTCTTTATTAATATATCTCAAAAGCATCTATTTCTTGTTTTGTTTTAGAGTCCATTGCCCAATATTTACAGCTGTACAAGAAAACAGACAAAACTTGCCATCTAATCATTCGGATTCTGAGCTCTAAACTAAGGTGTGACCTTGCAAAAAATGTTTATAAGTGTTTTTCTTGCCCACTTGATTCATGACAGGATTTTTTTTTTCGGATATACTCATCATCAGTTGGCGCCACAGCCCTTCGTAAGCCTTGGCCTGCTTCAAAACATTCTTCCATCCTTCCCTATCGAGTGTCTGCCTTCTCCAGCCCCTCACTCCAATCTCCCTCAGATCTTCCTGTACATCGTCCAGATATCTGAGTTTAGGTCGCCCTCTTCTTCTTCCGACCGGCCTGTTTAGCATAGTTATTTTAGTGGGATCACTCTCATCCATCCGCATAACGTGGTCCACCAACCTTAGGCAGTTTATTTTGATGGTATTCACAATATCTGCATCACCAAAAAGTCTATAGAGTTCAAAGTTATATCGCCTTCTCCACAGACCCTGTTCGTTTACTCCGCCATATATGGTCCTCAATTCTTTTCTTTTAAAGACTCGTAGTAACTCTTCATCTCGGGTCGTCATTGCCCATGTTGTTTTATAAAGTTTGCTCTTCGTTGCTATTGACATACTTCTCGCTCTTAGTTGAGGGCCCAGGCCAAAATAACAGCGGTTAGCCACGCATATTCTTTTTTTTATCTCTTTGGATGTGTTATTTTTGTAGTCTACCAGTGATCCTAAGCAGCAGAATTCTTCTACCTTTTCTATCGTTTCGTGTTGCACCTCTAAGTTATTTTGTTGAATTCTTGATATGGCCGGCATATATT